TTATTTTTGACTCGCTCCGCTCGACTCAATTTTTAAGATAAAAATGCTAAGTTTCAACAAGTTCTTCCAGGAGAGTATTTTTCATCTGAAGCTATTTTTGAATTTTGTTTCCTTCTTCAAGGTGGGGATTTGAAAAAATAAAGAGAAATCCCAATTTTTCCCCCAGATCCCCCCCTCCCCCAATGAAAGAAAATGACCAGTCCCTCGGTAGTTGATTTACAATTTCAGTAATGTTTAATTATTTATTTGTAAATCTGTTCTGGCCTACCATTTTGCAAAGAAGGTCTCTTTATAAATAAGTTATCAAGAAAATAGACAATAAAACAATAAAATTCATATGAGAGCCCAAATTGTTCAAATGGGACCTTTCCTTTAGAGCAAATTCAGACTGTTTTCATTACACCCTTTTTTTGTAAATCTATTGTAGTTTTTGTAAGATAAACGCAAAAAAAAGCCGCCCTTGCAAACTGAAACTCCCCGAACTGAACCGTTATCGAGAAATAAAAATTATTTCAAGGGTTCACAATTTTGGTATGCTTGGATGGACAAACATTTAAAAAAACACTATTTTTTCCTTGTATAAAATGTGTTAAAATTCATAACAAGATACTCGAGTCTTTTTCCAAAATCAATACGAAAAAGCTAGGGCTAACTATTTGGGCATTGCTGTAGATTGTGTATTGCTCAACATTTGAACTGTTTACAGTTTCTACCCAAAAACTCTTATGGAAAGCCAATTACTCCTACAAGGATTCATCGCCGGAATAAATTTGGTTGAAATAGGAAGTACATGTGGGAATATATCTTGACATTCTGGGGATTTTTTTTAATGAAAAAGTGGTTTGTTAATACTCTTTCCCGTTGCGTTTCAAAGGAAACTATGTGCCACTGTGACCAGTATCGGCAACCGATCAATAGTAAATGGTTATCGTTGGAAGGGGTCTCCTAATCATCAATCATGTAGAGTTTCCAAACGTATAGCTTTGCAGTTTCAGTGAAGAGGATTTTTTTTTAAATTTACCGGTCAAATTCAAAGATTGACTCTGGTAGTATTATTTCTTACCAATCGGAACTAAATGAGTTTCTTTTGTATAGGAATGTAAATACATTTTTCTTGCAAAAATTTATCAAAATTGGCTGAGTTGTTTCAGAGAAAAAGGTAAAAATCTAAAGGTGTACGGACGACGTATGCTTAATGACGAGAATAGCTCACATGGCCTTACAGGCCTGCATGACAAAAGCAGTTACTGTTGGAAAACCGGACTAAAAGCGCCGTTTCTTTGCTTTTTGTGCGTTTTTGCTGTGCATGTACTGATTTTGTGTCATGTATGGATACCCCATATCCTTTGTTTTTCTATTTTATTTGAAAAGAGATATTTTTAACATCCTTAAATCTCAAGCTTTAATAACTACGGAGCACTGATGGTCTTGAGATGTAAAGTCCAGGGAGGGAGATATAAAGTCCATGCAGCGATTGGGGTGTAATGTAAATTTATATCTACAGCGCTGGACATTATATTTACAGCGCAGGACTTTAAATATACAGCGCTAGACTTTACATCTCCAGCGCTTGACTTTAAATCTACAGCGCTAGATTTTACATCTGCAGCGCTTCATTTTAAAAAAAACACAAAACTCTTTATCGGTATGAGACCAACAGGGCTCAATAAACAATAAGTTAATGCAGTTTTTTATGTTCAGTTAGGCACCAATCTGATTAAAATACAGATCATTGGTGTCCAAGCTTTGCTTACAAGGATCTGAAAACGTTCCATTTTACTTTATCTTTTAACGAATATTTGGAATTGTCTGGTTTTGTCGGATTGATACACACCCTTCAAAAATCTGAAGGCTGAAATTTCTTTGGCTAATGTAATAATAACCAGAACAGAAAGTAAAATGGAGTGTAAGCAAAGCTTAGACACATAATCTGTATTTTATTTAGATTGGTTAGGCACCGACTTTTAATCTTTTGTTGGCGGGAGCATGTGTATTTTTTGGGCTCAGGACAAACATGTTTATCGACTTTAATAAAAAAAAAAAAATGTTTTCGACAACAAAATTAATTTTTAAATTTCATTGTTGTTTTATTTTTTCTCAAATTTTCAATGGAAACAAACTATTTTTTAGCTTCCCGTCTGAAATAAATAATGTCTTTTTCAAGAAATTCGGAATCAAGTAATTAAAAAAAAACATGCCTCTTCTCCCCAACAAAAAAAAAGAAAGATGAACGGTCGGTATCTTAGCCCTTTTAGCAGTTCGGTGCCTTGAGTCTGGAGATGTGTAAAGGCAGTTTCCTACGAAATTTAAGTCCCAAAGACCTCGGGATGTTTGTACGAAAATCCTTGTATGTTACGGGTAGCTGTCTAGTTGAAGCTGTTATAAAAATGTGAGCTAACGAAATAAAAAAAATTGCGCACAAATGTAATGATTTTTACGTGCAAATGTGATTGCAAATGTAATGCACCGAGTTAAAGTTTGTCCCATATCTCCTTTCATCCATATCGGTATAATTATGCATGCGTAGAAACGTTTATAGCTTATAATATTAAATAATATCAAAAATGACTATAATTTAATTGGCATAGAAATACAACTAAAGTTCTTTTATCATATTTTTGCATCAGCAGGGAAATTTTTCAATTAGCTCTTTTTTTAACGGGTCTAATTCTTCCTCCGAAATGTTTAAAACGTTGATTTTTGTTAAATTGCACTGTCTCATTTTTTCTATAATTTGCACTTTCGGAAGCTGACACGAGGCTGGAGCTGCTAGATCAGAAACAGTAAACTGGCATAAAAAAACAACAAAAAACTGCAGAATATTCTCTTGTAGATCAAATATTTGAACTCCAGGTACACTCGAGGACCCATAATATCAATCTAATTAAAATTCATATCTTTGTTAGCTCACGTGCTCGTACACATATGTGTATAACGAAATCAAAGAACTAATAATAATGTCTATATTTTAATTAGATTGTCATAATATCACTTTAACCGTATGTTCATTATTTTATAAACCCATCGATAAACCTAAACTTTGCAATTCTTATTTTAACCATTTTCCAACAATACTATCAGATGGGATTTTTTTCATCTTTAAAACGAGGTAGCAAAGTGCTAAGGTTTATCTCCTTAACATCTCATCAACTTTCCAAACGATAGTTACATATTTATACAGGTTTATAGTAATCCGGAGAAGCAGATCGGAATCAGTTATGACGTAGAGTGTAATCGTTCTAATCGTGATCATGTTTATTGACCATAACAACGATGAAAGTTCATCATATAAGTACGTTTTGACATCATATAATGAAGTAATCCGAACCACATCATATAATGTTACAAGCACATAATATAAAGACACAACCACATCATATAAAGATGTTTGTACATAATATAAGTATATTTGCACATCATATAAGGATATTTGCCATCATATAAGTATATTTACACATCATATAAGTATATTTGCACATCATATAAGGATCTTTGGACATCATATAAGTACATTTGCACATCATATAAGTACATTTGCACATCATATAGGTATATTTGCACATCACATAATGATCCTTGCACATCATATATTCGCACATCATATATATATGTTTGCACATCATATAAGTATATTTCCACACCATATAAGTATATTTCCACATCATATAATGATATTTGCACATCATATAATAACAACTGGACACCATATAAAGGTGTTTGCACATCATATAATGACAAGTGCACATCATATAAAGGTAAATGCACATCATATAATGAAAATGGGCATAATAAGACTGTTTGGTGTTCCATAAGTTAACATTACATTCACTCTGTGGTTAAAAGTTTTTAAAATTTTAATAACTTTCTAAAACTATCCTGGATTTCTATCAAACTTCGACAGAAGCTTGTTTATGATCATAAGATAGTATCTAGAAGGAAATTTGTAAACAAAATCCTGTTTATCCGTATTTTACTTATAAATTGACTTACTTTTTCTGCCGTTTAACATTATATTCACTCTCTTGTTAAAAGTTTTTAAAATTTTAATAACTTTCTTAAACTATCCTGGATTTGTACCAAACTTAGACAGAAGCTTGTTTATGATCAAAAGCTAGTATCTAGAAGGAAATTTGTAAACATCTATTTCCTGTTTTCCGTACATTACTTATATGTGGACTTAGTTTTTCTTCTAGTTAACATAACATACAGTCTGCAGTTAAAGTTTTTAAAACATTTATTACATTCATAAACCATCCTGGATTTTTACCAAACTTGGATAGAAGCTTCTTACAATCAAAAGATGGTATCTAGAGGAGAATTTTTAATAATTTTTTCACCATTTTTGTTGAGCCTGCGACTAATAGCAAAAGTAGGCAAGACACTGGGTTCCGCGGAACCCTTACAAATTTTTAGCATGAATTGTCCAAAAGGTTGTTGTATAACACAGCTTGGCAGTACATATAAAATTTACTAATGTTATTCCCCATCTAAAAAAACCTGAATACCCCCTGGTTTTAATAACTATATTCAACAATCATTGTCAAATAAAGGAAATATTTTTTTTAAGTTATTCTGAGCAATAACACCCTTAAATTTTACAGCAACGATTTAAAAAAAAAGAGGTCTTTAAGAATTAGTGTGCTTAGTTTCTCCTTCCTAAAAATTATAAGGTTGTTTGACGTGGTTAGTCAGAAAACTTTTAAAATTTTGTATACGATTTTGTTGTCGTTGCTGTAATCTTTGAATTTATGGTATTTTCTCTGGGCCTGATTCCCGTATTAAACACTTTAATAGAACTCTACCATTTGTAAATTGTCATAGCAAATTCATGTTTTTCATGTATTTTGATGAAATAAGTTTACTTAGCAGTAGCATCGACTTATATGTTGGTGAACAGTTTTTGAAGGAATGCTCATAAAAATGTTTGGAGTTGGTCAGAAAACCCCAAACACATATCTTTCTTTTGTGTCTAAAGAATGTTTTTGTTATTTTTATTTTAGATAAAGTTGCTGAAACATTAGTGATTAATACATTTGGAAATTTATTACCACAGATTGGAATCTCTCAAGCAAGTATAGACAAACCATGTAAATGTGATGCATGTGGTAAAGGGTTTGGTAAAAACGAATTCTTACAGAAACACAACATAATTCATACCAGTATTAGAAGTTTGAAATGTGGTGTATGCGGAAAAGGATTTTATGAAAACAGTGACCTAGAGAACCACATTGTACAACATATTGATGAAAAACCATTTAAGTGTAAAATATGTGGGAAAGTGTTTGCCTATTTTAGCCTTCTACAGAAACACATCAAAACGCATAACGATAAAAAGAGTTTTAAATGTGATCAATGTGGACGAGGGTTTGTCGAGAGTAGTGACCTAAAAAAACACATTAGAATACATACGGGTGAGAAACCATATAAATGTGGTATTTGCAGTAGAGATTTTAGCCGAAGTTGTATTTTGCAGAAACACATGAGAATACATTCTGGAGAAAAACCATATAAATGTGCTAATTGCAATAAAGATTTTAGTGATAGTGGTAGTTTGCATGTTCATATGAGAACACATACTGGTGAGAAACCTTACATATGTAAAATATGTAAAAAGGGGTTTAGCGCTGGGAGCAATTTAAAAACTCATGAGAGATCTCATACAGGATTAAAACCAGTTCATTGTGAGATATGTGGTAAAGGGTTTACTCGTAAAAAAGTCTTGGAAAATCACATGAAAAAGCATATAGATAGAAAAGTGTTTGCCTGTGATTTATGTAAGAAGGAATATCCTACCATCAGTAGTATAAAGAAACACATGAGAACACACACTGGTGTTAAACCATATGAATGTGAAGTGTGTAAAAAGGGAGTCCAGGACAAAAGTGCTTTAAGTCTACATATGAGAACTCATACTGGAGAGAAGCCTTATAAATGTGAAGAATGTGGCAGAGGTTTTAGCAGTAGTTGTAATCTACATGTTCATATGAGAACACACACTGGCGAAAAGCCTCATAAATGTGAAGAATGTGGTAGAGGTTTTAGCAGTAGTTGTAATCTACATTCTCATATGAGAACCCACACTGGCGAGAAGCCTCATAAATGTGAAGAATGTGGCAGAAGTTTTAGCAGTAGTTGTAATCTACATGCTCATATGAGAACTCATACTGGCGAGCATCCTCATAAATGTGAAGAATGTGGCAGAAGTTTTAGCACTAGTTGTAATCTACATGTTCATATGAGAATCCACACTGGTGAGAAACCTTATGAATGTGATATATGCAACAAATGGTTCCGTTACAATGGCGTCTTAAAGATTCACAGAAGAACACATACTGGTGGAAAACCTTTTAAATGCAGTTTTTGTGGTGAAGGTTATAGTAGGACAGACCTTTTACATGTACACATGAGAAGTCACACTGTCGATCAACCTTAACTTTCTTAACTTGCTTAAGAATGTGAAGAGGCTTTTGTGACAAAAGTAATTATAGAACACATGTGAGAACACATACAAGTGATCATGTTTAAAAAATGTGATACATGTGGAAAAGGCTTTTGTTATAATATCATGTTACAATTACACATGAGAACACATACACTGGTGAAAAACCATAAAAATGTAATGCATGTAAAGTCAGAATGGTAATTTACAGAAACATATGCACTCACATTACATTGACAATTTACCTTCAAAACAAATGTACATGGTTGGGGTTTGTGTAAAGCTTCTACAAAATGACATTTAACAAGAACAACTTGACATCTGTAAAGTGTATTGTGCAATAGCCATAAAACTTTGATTAAACACAATTTTAGGTCAATGTCAGAAAAATATCAACTTTTTGTATGAGGCATAGAAACTTGGGAAGTGTTAGTTTACATAGCTGTTCAACAGTTTCCAACTGAATAAAAAAAGTTGATGATGTTTTTCATTGACATTGATCCAATATTGTTTTATTGTCTGCAGCTTAAAATGGCTACAATTCTAGGAATGGAAATGTTTTTAACAAAAATAACACTTATTTTCTATCCCTAAACGAGTTCCAAATTGTGAGAAAAAAAATGACGTGACATGAAATTGACATTGCACAAAATATATCTTTGTTACTATATTTGTAAGATAAGTACAATGGGAAGTGTTCTAGCCATGCTAGCTGCAGTATAAATAAATGTATATGATACGCATATCTGTCGGAACTATTTAAGACCAAGGAGATGTGGTATGGTTGCATATGAGACAACTGTCAACTGACAACTTATAGATAAAAAAATTGAACAACCAATGGGTACTGCACTGGCCTTTAAACTGAACAAACGCTACACTTTACAGTAATGATATGTGAATGACATGTTTCTGAAATAACCTTGAGAACTGTAATCATGGTAATGTGATATATTTAAAAAAGGCTTGTTTCTGGAGAATAGTCAGTAATCAATTTTTTTTTCATTATTTTGGATAATCGGTCTGATATCAAGTGTATTTTCAGATGTTGTACAGTTTATAATTTATTTTATTGTTTGCAACAGGTGAATTGTATTGTAATATATGTCATGTAAATGAAACTGAACTAAATATTAATGTATAGGATGGTAGCTAGTCATTTCGTACCATACCCATTTCGTACCATTGCCATTTCGTACCCAAAATTACCATTTCGTACCATGCATTTGACATTTCGTACCATGACCGTAAACCATTTCGTACCATATGGATAAAAATATCTACCATTTCGTACTATATAGAAAAAATGCTTTGCCATTTGTACCATTTGGAAAAAAATGCTATATCATTTCGTACCATATGAAAATTGAACTTTACCATATCATGCTTAGTATATGAAAAATATTCAGTTTCAAATATTCGAAATTACAAAGGAATATTAGTATGAAATTGAATTTATGACGATTTAGAATACATGGGGTGAGACTCTTATAAAATATTTAATATGAAAAACGCAAACTATTATTTTCTGTGTATAAAAAAGCAAAAGAGGCAGGTATAAGAGTGTCGCTTATTAAAGATAAACTTTTTAATGATGGTGAACAGACTGTGGTTAAATCAAACAAACTAGTCAAAATTGCACGTCGTGATCAGTCAGTTGATAGAATGTCTGATAAATCGTCGGGTTCAGGGTATTCAGGGGCCGAAAAAAAAACCCGAAATGGTATACATTATAATCTTCCATATGGTACAAAATTGTATACATTTTAATTTTCCATATGGTCCGAAATTGTATACATTATAATCTTCCATCAAATATGGTACGAAATGGTATAAAATATAGTCTTCCATATGGTACGAAATGGTCATTGTACGAAATGGTTATGGTACGAAATGACTATGATTCTTTCGGATATCTGCTGGCAAAATTCAAAATGATTACATTCTTTTTTAATTGATAATTGACAAATAGTCATAGAATTTGTTTTGTGGGAATTCATCATATGAAACATGTACGGGAATAAACATTGAACAAATGAGTTTTTAGTTTATGAAAATAGATACAAATGTATTCGTAAAAGCTAGAATTTAAAAAAAGTTGTAAAATAATATTGAGACATGTTCGGATTGCTCTGTAACAAGTCTATGAGAATGTGATAGACATTCATGACATTATGGTATGGATTGGATCTTTCATTTTTATATTTTTAATTTTTTAAGAATGCTAGAAAGTTTTCACTTTGCTGGCTGTTTGTGATATATTGAAGGTTTGCATGTGGTCAGGGTTTTGATTTTTATGGATATTTGCTCTTTTGGGAGATAGTTGAACTTTTTTTTTTTGAAGTATATACTTGCATAAGTCCCATTATGGGTATAAAGTCATTCTAGACAACAACTCCTACAGTTTGAATGTTAGGAAGTTTTCAATATAGTGGAATTTAATGCGACTGTCATACAAGTGAAAGGTTTTGCTAGCTATATAAGAAAATACCTGTACCAAGTCAGGAATATGAAAATTGTTATCTTTTCGTTTGATGTGTTTGAGCTTTTGATTTTGCCATTTGATTAATGATTTCTGTTTTGAATTTTCCTCGCAGTTCAGTATTTTTGTTATTTTACTTTTCATTTTGCTGGCTGTTTGTACGTATATTGAAGGTGTCCATGTGGTCAGGGTTTTTATTTTTATTAGTATTTGCTGTTTTGGGAGATAGTTGAATTTTGTCATTTTTGGAGTATATACTTTCAAAAGTCCCATCATGGGTATATAGTTATTCTAGACAACTTCTCCTACAGTTTGAATGTTAGGAAGTGTACACTTTGTTGGCTGTTTGTACATATATTGAAGGTGTGCATGTGGTCAGGGTTTTGATTTTAATTAGTATTTGCTCTTTTGGGAAATAGTTGAATTTTGTATTTTTTGGAGTATATACTTGCATAAGTCCCGTTACTGGTATATAGTTATTCTAGACAACTCCTCCTACAGTTTGAAGGTTAGGAAGTGTTCACTTTGCTGGCTGTTTGTACATATATTGAAGGTGTGCATGTGGTTAGGGTTTTGATTTTAATTAGTATTTGCTCTTCTGGGAAATAACTGAACTTTGTCATTTTTGTTGAGCCTGCCACTTTTGTCGCAGAAAGCTCGACATAGGGATAGTGATCCGGCGGCGGCGGCGGCGTAAGCTAACTTCTTAAAAGCTTTATATTTTAGAAGGTGGAAGACCTGGATGCTTCATACTTTGTATATAGATGCCTCATGTTACGAAGTTTCAGTCAGTCTCATGTCCAATGTCCTTGACCTCATTTTCATGGTTCAGTGACTACTTGAAAAAAAAAGTTCAGATTTTTTGGAATGTTAAAATTCTCTCTTATTATAAGTAATAGGATAACTATATTTGGTATGTGCGTACCTTGCAAGGTCCTCATGCCCGTCAGACAGTTTTCACTTGACCTCGACCTCATTTCATGGATCAGTGAACAAGGTTAAGTTTTCGTGGTCAAGTCCATATCTGAGATACTATAAGCATTAGGTCTACTATATTTGATGTATGTAATGATAATAAGGTGTACATGTCCAACTGGCAGGTGTCATCTGACCTTGACCTCATTTTTATGGTTCAGTGGTTATAGTTTAGTTTTTGTGTTTTGGTCTGTTTTTCTAATACTGTATGCAATAGGTCAACTATATTTGGTGTATGGAAATATTTTACGATGTTCATGTCAGTCTGGCAGGTTTTATTTGACCTTGATCTCATTTTCAAGGTTCATTGCTAAATGTTAAGTTTTTGTGTTTTGGTCTGTTTTCCAAGTACTGTATGCAGTAGGTCAACTATATTTGGTGTATGGAAATATTTAATGATGTACATGTCAGTCTGGCAGGTTTTATTTGACCTTGACCTCATTTTCATGGTTCATTGCTTATGTTAAGTGTTTGTGTTTTGGTCTATTTTTCTTACACTTTAAGCAATAGGTCAACTATATTTGGTGTATTGAATGTTGTAAGGTGTATATGTCTGTCTGGGAGGTATCATCTGACCTTCACCTCATTTTCATGGTTGATTGGTTAATGTTCAGTTTTCCTGGTTAACTTTTTTTCTTGTATACCTTAAGCAATAGGTCAACTATATTTGGAATGATTTTAATGTGTACATGTGTGTCTGGCAGGGTTCAAATGACCTTGACTTCATTTTCATGGTTCATTGGTCAATATAGAATTTCCATTGTTTTGTCTGTTTCTTTTATACTATAAGCAATAGGTCATCTTTATTCTGTGTATGGAGAGATTGTATTAAAGGTGTACATGTATTTCCGGCTTGGTTTATCTAACCTTTGACCTCATTTTCTTGGATCATGAATGTTAATGTGATACTTGTAGTAAAACTTTATATGAAGGACTATCAACATAAAATCAATGGTCAGTATAGTAGGCGAGACATTTCAGCGTGTGCATTCTTGTTGGAGTATATACTTGCACAAGTCCCGTTATGGGTATATAGTTATTCTAGACAACTCCTCCTACAGTTTGAATGTTAGGATGTTATCTATTTGCTGGCTGTTTGTACATATATTGAAGGTTTGCATGTCGTCAGGGTTTTTATTTTTATTAGTATTTGCTCTTTTGGGAAATAATTGAACTTTGTCATTTTTGGAGTATATACTTGCATAAGTCCCGTTATGGATATATAGTTATTCTGGACAACTCCTCCTACAGTTTTAATGTTAGGATGTTTTCACTTAGCGGGCTGTTTGTACATATATTGGAGGTTTGCATGTGGTCAGGGTTTTGATTTAATATTAATATTTGCTCTTTTGGGAAATAGTTGAATTTGTCATTTTTGAAGTATATACTTGCATTGGGTGTATATTATATATAGTCATTCTAGACAACTCCTCCTAGAGTTTGAATGTTAGGAAGTTTTTCACTATAATGGAATTTGATGCGACTGTTATAAAAGTGAAAGGTTTTGCTAGCTATACAACTAGGTTTAATCCACTATTTTCTTACATAAGAAAATGCCTCTACCAAGTGAGGAATATGACAGTTGTAATCCATTCGTTTGATGTGTTTGAGCTTTTGATTTTGCCATTTGATTAGTGATTTCTGTTTTGAATTTTCCTCGCAGTTCAGTATTTTTGTAATTTTACTTTTCATTTTGCTGGCTGTTTGTACATATATTGAAGGTGTGCATGTGGTCAGGGTTTTTATTTTTATTAGTATTTGCTGTTTTGGGAGATATTTGAATTTTGTCATTTTTGGAGTATATACTTGCATAAGTCCCGTTATGGGTATATAGTTATCCTAGACAACTTCTCCTACAGTTTGAATGTTAGGAAGTTTTCACTTTGCTGGCTGATTGTACATATATTGAAGGTGTGCATGTGGTCAGGGTTTTGATTTTTATTAATACTTGTTCTTTTTGGAGATTGTTGAACTTTGTCAATTTTGGAGTAAAAACTTGCATAAGAGATGCATAGCGTTTCTGGATAAACCTCATACAGTGAACCAACGACCTTTGCACTCCTATGCTCAACTTTATGTATTTTGAAATAATACTTTGCATCTGCGGGGCATCATTTGTGTCTCCTAGACACAATAATATCTCAAAAGAAAGACCTCCATTAACTTTATTATAATACAGTTACTTCAGAGTGGCATGTGGGGGCATTACTTTGTCTAGTTTGCATTATTTTCTCTATTCTTTACATTTTCTACCTTTATTTCACACTTTTTGCCTGTTATTCTCTATTCTATAAACCCCCTTTACACCTTCAGACAAGACATTGTCTACAAATAAGTCAACGTGATCAAAATTGTTAGTCAACACCTGACTGAAGCTATTGCCTTTTAATCACGGGTTTTACCAATCTTTGAAATTTTGCTGATTATCTTGAAAACTATAAGTGTAGATAGATAAAACTTTTAATAGGAAAAAAATATCAACAAGACGAGATCTATAAATAAGTCCGAAATCGCTGGTCAACTCCTTATCGAAACATGAAATGCGGAGAGGAATTGGAAAAATCATGGAACATGGTTACATCACAAAACACCAACATCATGTTGATGGGAGACTTTAACTGTCCAGATATAAACTGGGAATCAAATACAGTAAACTTAAACGCAAATGATAAAGAAATTCATACATAATAGTATTTACATTGTTTCATAGAACAAATTTATTCGTTCAGTGTATGTTCACTTGTGTCAATATGTCGTTTGATTGAGTTAAGCCATTTGAATTGATATTTGATAGTGTGTCTTTCTATGATGTGATGTTACACTATTGTTTCAGGTAAGGATGAAGGTTGGTACCTATTAAAACGTTTAAACCCGCTGCCTTTGTTTTCACCTGTCCTAAGTCAGGAATCTGATGTTCAGTGGTTGTCGTTTGTTGATGTGGTTCATAAGTGTATCTCGTTTTTGTCGAGCCTGCGACTTTTGTCGCAGAAAGCTCGACATAGGGATAGTGATCCGGCGGCGGCGGCGGCGTTAGCTAACTTCTTAAAAGCTTTATATTTTAGAAGGTGGAAGATCTGGATGCTTCATACTTTGTATATAGATGCCTCATGTTACGAAGTTTCCTTCAGTCACATGTCCAATGTCCTTGACCTCATTTTCATGGTTCAGTGACTACTTGAAAAAAAAGTTCAGATTTTTTGGAATGTTAAATTCTCTCTTATTATAAGTAATAGAATAGCTATATTTGGTATGTGCGTACCTTGCAAGGTCCTCATGCCCGTCAGACAGTTTTCACTTGACCTCGACCTCATTTCATGGATCAGTGAACAAGGTTAAGTTTTCGTGGTCAAGTCCATATCTGAGATACTATAAGCATTAGGTCTACTATATTTGATGTATGTAATGATAGTAAGGTGTACATGTCCAATTGGTAGGTGTCATCTGACCTTGACCTCATTTTTATGGTTCAGTGGTTTTAGTTTAGTTTTTGTGTTTTGGTCTGTTTTTCTAATACTGTATGCAATAGGTCAACTATATGTGGTGTATGGAAATATTTTACGATGTTCATGTCAGTCTGGCA